GCACAGAAGTCCAGTAACAAAACACTGCTCGGGTTCAAATCGGGGAGGCCGTTCCTCCCAATCACGCCCCTCCAAGTGTCTCCATCATTGCCCACATGTGCGTTGAAGTCTCCCAGGAGAACGATGGAGTCCCCTACAGTATCCAAAAAGGCCGAATACTCTGCACTGCTGTTTGGTGCATAGGCACAAACAACAGTCAGAGTTTTCCCCCCACAGCCCGTAGGCATTGCACCCGACCCCTCTAGCAAATCAACTCAATTCAATTTTGTTTTTATAGCGCCAATTCATAACAGAAGTTATCTCAGGACACTTTTCAAATAGAGCAGCTCTAGACCGAAACTCCTTATAACATTATTTACAGGGACCCAACAATTCCCACCATGAGCAAGCACTTGGTGACGGAGGCAAGGAAAAACCTCCTTTTAACAGGCAGAAACCTAGGACAGACCCCTCAGCTCTAGGTGGGTGGTCGTCTGCCTCGACACTAAACATACAATCAATTCTACAAAATATAACCAAAAGCATAAAACAAAAGTCCTAATGAGTAGTGGAAACTATATACAAGTGTGTGTGCACGTGTGTGTAGGTGTGAATGTAACAAAGGGGAAAGATGGCGGTCTCAGACCCTGCGGGGGTCCTGAAGCACACCACAGGTAACAAAGGAGAGAGAGGGTGTGGTGAATGGCGGTCTCGGGACCGATACCACATGAGGAAAGCTAGCGGAACAGGCCGGAGAGACAGGCCTGAACGGCTCTGAACCGCGGTGATAGTCGCTCTACGTGTGTGTAGGTTCCTAAGTCAGTGGAGGAAAAGAGAGCGAGAGAGAGAGAAATCACTCCTAATAGCAGACTGAGCGATCAGTCCTGTAAAACTCAGTTTCATACAGTCAAAACTCCCAATAGCATTCACTATACCCACCAACGAGCAGCGCTTGAATGTAAAAACAATATCAATACAAATGAAAATAACAAACGCTCAAACACAACTATCAAAACATAGAATACACATCAATGATTTATCATAGAAACTGTAATTGCTTTGTCCAATAAGGAGGGAAAAAACTCCTTAAGTTGCGCAGAGTGGTTATCTCCAAACAATAAACCGAAAGTTCACAAAGAGAGACCAAGATGCGTCTCTCAAAAGTGACGTCACTGGAACCGTAGGCGGATTTCACATCCAGGTGTGAAACGCTAAGGACCCTGGGAAGTTGAGTTCAACTGGGTTTTCCTTTGTCGAAGGAGACAGAAAGGTTTGCTGTCCCAGTTGCCATTTTGAACGGGCCGAGGCCCTACAGTCAGAAGACTAGAAACGCGCTATACAAATACTGGTCCATTTACCAATAGATTCTCCTAAATGTTACACACTGATCCTTAAGTTTATTGTTTTGTGCATCGTAGATTCTCCTGTGATTGTGAATGTGTGTCTATTTCAGAAACCAGGTGAACAGGAGCCATCTGATGAAGAGGAGGGGGTGAAACACATTGATCCACTGCATCAGCTCATTCAGCTGTTCAGCAGAACAGCCCTCACAGAGAAGTGGTGGGTTCCCATATGTAGGATACAATTTTCTACCAAATGTGAGGCATCTGCTCCATAATAAGTTAATATTTTAGCAAATAACTGCCTAGTTACACATCTAGTAAATAATGGCAGTCACATGATATCTGGTCAAACTTCTGGCCAACATTTACTGGTGTTTAACCCTGCCAGCTCTTGAGAAAAGGTATCTTGATCGATCTGACTTAATACATAAATGTTACTAATTGTTTCACTTCCGTCACCAGTCACTTGTTTATCTCCAAATCTGTTTCACTCTGGACTGTTACAGTTAACAGTAGGTTTTTGGGAGCTGCTGAGAGCGTGGAGAAGTTGCTCATGGTTTGCATTTGATTTTCAGTGGGACCAACAGCAGTGGACCTCTCGCATAACCAGAGTAGTTTCAGTCAATGCTGCAATAAAAATAGAATCGCTTAATGCAGCTTAAATAATAAAACCTGTTCAGCCAATGATGTGGACAGTCAAATTGTGATAGTGTGTGTGTGTGTGTGTATATTTCCTGTTGCAGTAAACTGGATGAGGATAATCTCTACATGGCCTATGCTGACATCATGGCTAAGGTACCAGCTATTGAATACCAGTACTAGGAACCTTTTTTATTACTTAGAAGTGAATTGGCTGGCTTATCACAGCATATTGCAACATAATATTCTTCTGCTGTCCACTTTACTCCTTGCTCCCTTAGAGTTGCCATGATGAAGAAGATGAGGATGGAGAGGAAGTGAAGAGTTTTGAAGTAGGTGATCAGTCACTCTGTTTGTCTGTCCCCATGAGGGTCTTCCCTAAACTGGTATGCTGCCGCCTGTCATTTATGGGTCCTGTTTCACATAAATAGGAGAAAGAGATGGAGAAGCAGAAGCTGTTGTATCAACAGGCTCGATTACATGACCGTGGAGCTGCTGAGATGGTGCTTCAAACCATCAGCGCTTGCAAAGGTAGGTTTTACTTACTGTTAGTCCTGCCCATCGACATATAAAAGATGGCCATCACGTCTCTACTTCCCCCACTGTAGAAAAAAGAAACCATAATATCTTCGATAAGGATGCTGCCATCTGCTGCCACTCAGGGACGGAGTCTGCACAGTAGTCATTGGGTTCAGCTCCCCGGTATCAAAGTCCCAACCATCTGCTCGGCCGACTCGGCTGTCAATCATGTTGTGAAACACCCTTTTTTATAGCGTCTAATAACTAATTAAAACCATGCTGATCCTGAACATACATCAACATGATAAGAACTACCTTAAATGAAAACCATCTTTGGAAAAGTGTATTTGAAGTGTACTTTGATTTGACCCATATCCCATATGTTAACATGGAGGAAGCAGGCTTTATGACCTCTCCTGTCATCCATCTTTGTCTATGACAATGTTCCTGCCTCCCACCTCCAGTTACACTACTATATTATAACTACTATAAAAGTTGATTTAATGTGCTGTATAGTCACTTATAGTGCTGAGGAAACCCATTTAGGCCTCTTGTAGCTGCAATCTTGTTCTTTCGGTCATGACCCATTCCTCATGACTATAGGTGAGGGTAGGAACAAAGACCGGTAGATTGCCCCCGTTGCCAAGTGCTTGCTTATGGTGGTACTGTTGGGTCTCTGTAAATGTTATAAGGAGTTCGGTCTAGACCTGCTCTATTTGAAGTGTCCTGAGA